CATTAATTTAGATATGTAAACAAAATATAATTACTTTAATTATGTATTTATTTATTTAATTTAAATATTATTACTTTAATTATATTAATAAATAAAACTCATACAATACCAAACCTTTATAAAATTCTAATCCTAAGATTGATTAAATACGACAAACCTCTGAAACAACAATTCCACCTATGATGAAAAACCTCACAAAAAGCGTTCATGAAAAAGTGGCTAGAATATATTTTGAAAAACCTTATCTTAATGTTTTTCGCTTTAAAAACCTCCCAATAACCTTTCAAAAAGCACATAGTGGATGTTTAAAGCATATTTAACAGTTTTCAATTGTTTAATTATGTATGTTTTATTTGCGAGAAACAACCATGGGTGTGTTCAGATGATCTATGTGTGCTTCAATATGAGTTTTTTTTTTCACCGAAGGTGTGGTGTAAATTGTCCGAGAAGGGATGAGACGGTTTTTTTTTATATTGTTTTGTTTTGGTTTTGTACTCAAGATTTATATATTTGTATAATAAATTTTAATAGAAAAGAAAAAAATGGCCTAAAATTTTAAAAGAATAATTAAAGAAATTGGTGAAGAGACCAAAACGTTCCTCATTTTGAGAGACATCATCAACTGGAGTTAGTAGCCAAAGACCATTTTTAGAGCAAAATGCAAACTACAAGGATGATTTTTAGACTTATCGAAGTCCATCATCATAACCCAATCCTTTCTCCTGAACCACACTACACAAACACACACACATAGGAGCCTAATCAAATGATAACTGTATAGTTTATGAAATCGTGAGATCCAATCACTCATTTGAGATATTTAAGGATATTTTTCAAACAAGGAAAAAGGGCAATTTAGTAATTTTGTTTATAACAACTTATAAAAAGATTTAATTAATTTTTAAAGGGAATATTTGATTAATTTTAAACACCTAATATATTAATTGCCTAATATATATTGTCTTTTAAAAATGTTTGTGGAGCCCAATGTATCACAGTGATAATGTTCACCATATATTTTCGATGTTTTATAATGTGTATCACAATATTCATTTTATTACTTTCATTGCTTTAGAAAAGGTATCACAATGTGTATTTTTGTTATTTTAGTTGCTTTACAAAAGTATCACAATGTGCATGTTGTATGTATATATGAGTATCACAGTGAATATCGTTTGTATGTATATTTTTTAATTATATTTTTTTAGGTATCATAGTGTTGTATATTATGTTTATATAAAGTTCCGACGAATAACATTTGTCGGAATAAAGTCTGCTAGATAGAGCAGAAAGAAGAGAGAATATTTTTAAAATCTTTAAAATATCCTTAAATTAATATTTTAAGTTAAAAATATCATACTTATTAATTTTTTAATTTAACATTTGATTTATGATTTATATTGGATCTCATGGTTATCATAAATTATTGAGTTCTCCTTTGAATAACTCATATATATTGATTATGTGTGTGTGTCTATATATGTATACATTTTATAAATTTTGAAATAAAATATAATATATATATATATATATATTAAAGTATAATAATCAATTAATTTTATAAACTTAAAATATAAAAAAATTATATTTAGACTTAATTATGAATTTGGTCTCTAAACAGGACGAAATCCCCTCAAGCTTAATGGAGAAATTGAATAGCCATTAAAGTGCGGGACCAATTTGTTGCAAAACAACATGCTACAAGTCTTGATTTATAATCAATCAAGTTCAAGGACCATTCACACAAAACCCACCAGAATACAGGGACCAAAACTGTAATTAACTCTTAAATTTATATTTAAAATAAGTTGTGAATGATAATGCGAATAAAGTAACGAATTGTCGTAAGAAGAATACAAAATGTCGGGTTGCATGGGATTAAGTCCAAGGAGAACTTAACATTTATGACTTATATACATTCAAATAGATTTATATAAATAAGAATCACATTTTCCGTTGACCAACACGATATAAACGACAATGATAATAACTTTAAACCTACCGCATATATTATGTCGATAAATAACATATAAAAAAAATAGAAAACATTAAATTATACGAATTCAACTATAATAAAAAATATGAAATACAAGATAAACCATTAATTCAATTAAATATGTTTGAAAGCCATTTTAATCGGTTTTTATCCTTTTGAAACGAAGCATTTATACCATCAAATGATACGTATGTGTTTAATTATATTTTAAAACTTTATGAATATTAAAATATGTTCTTTTTATACATTACTACTATACTCGAATAATACTTGAATATAACATATTCTAATATTAATCGAAATGTTCATCAAACGTACGGTAATTTTTGTTTTTATATATAAATTAAATTAAATTGGTTATAAGAGTGCCCTCAATAGCTATGTTATTTTAAAAAATAAATGAAAGAGAACGAAAAAATCTCTGAATTTAAAAAATTAAATAAAAAGTATTGTAAAAAAGACTAACTACAAGGGTGAAGTCTGATTGATTTG